TCTACGACCACAAGGAGCCGGCGCCTCTGTGGAAACTCACGAACGAGCTCAGTGACGCGGTCGGCTCGGCACCGCCGAGGCACGATGCCAGGACTTTTGAGCAGAAGGACCTCGACAGCGGCAGCAGCGACGAGGATTTGTACGAGGGGAGCGGCGCCCTGGGGGAGGGGCAATACGGTGAGGGTTCCGGGTGTCAGCGACGTCTGACATCCGGCACTGCCTGCTTTCGGTTCGTGTAGCGCAGTTTTTAATTCTTGGCTTCACGCAGCGAACAGAACGTCCGACACAGCCACGCTGTGCGTCGGAGTGACTGTCTTCGTCGTTTTTAATTCCGAGTTTCCATGGCAACGAACATTTTCGTTGCTTGAACACGATTTATCTCGTTCGCAGCGTGCAGCTTGTCGTCCTTGTGTTCCAGAGGTGGAGTGGTCTGATTGGAGCGACTGCTCTGTGACGTGTGGCACCGGGTCTCAATCCCGGTACTCGCGATGTGTGGACGACGGTAGTCGCCTGGAACTATGCATGGAGGCGGGCGGGGAGCGCACGGAGACACGGACCTGCAGCCGGGGGCAGTGCACCGCCCCCGAGAGGTTCTACCCTCCCGTCACAAACCGCTCCGCTCCCGGAAGCAAGCAGCCGGAACAACACAAACACCGGAAGTTGCATCACAGCAGCGCGACGAACGGGTCGGATTGGGTGCTGAGTGGTGAGTGGCCTCAGGGATCGATCATAATTCGATTCTCGTTCTGGATCACGCGTGTTCGATCCCCCGCTAGGGCAACAAATGTATGTAATTGACGTATAATGCTTCGCCGATACTTCTAAACGGATTTAGACGAAACTTGGCATCGGCTTCCCCCCCAGTTAAAGTTGTCCGGGTTGTCGAATTCAAGGAGTTCAGCGCGGAAATCGTCAGTACATCCTGGCCTACTGTTTCTTTGTTATCGATGTTACATTTAGGTAACATGAACTTGCAATTAAACCCTACCTCCATGCCCGCTATACACCGTAGTCGCCCAGTACTTGTGCACTGAGACGTTACAGTAAATTACATCTTCGCCTTTGCCTGTCACGTTTTCTTCCAATTAAACAGCGATTATTTCCTTAAACAGCGTCAACCATTTGATCTCTGCAATGGTGTATGGTAAGCGCTGTGTTTTATTTGCGGTAAGTTATATGTTCACAAATACCAAATATTCATCGTAATAACCACTTAACCAGTTTACCCTTACAGAAAAATAACGCCCAATCTATTTACAATACATAAAATTTGGCAGGAACGTATTTTACATGCGTAAAACTTGGTTTCTGATTAATGTGGTATACGATGAATGTATTTAAAACATATGAAGACGATAAACCCAGATCCAAATTAAACGAATACGCCGAGAACTGTTTGCGGGCTAAATGTAATCACAACGTGGTAGCTGCGTCTTCAAACGGTTAATTTCCTGTTCACGTCGCTCAATCCCTCCTCCTCCTCCTTCTCCATCTCATCTCGTCTCGTCTCTTCTGATCCCGCTCCATTCTTCCCAAACATTCCGATAGCTCCCGTATCGATCTGTGGCTGCAAGACTTTTATAATGAATTCTGTCGTTCGCCGTTCGGACTTGTCCCCTGAGGAAACGTTTCCTTCCCAGTCTCACCTCTCCCTGAGACCCCGCGTGTAGACTGTACGTTCTGTTTTCAATATTTTCTCGAGGTTCATAACACATTTTTGGTGAAACGTGGTTGGTATGCCCTTTTTAATATTATCCTCAGATCCATGCGAGTGTCTTTCTCCTTCCCCCCAGACTTTCCATCCAAAACTTTACCACACACAAACGAAGTTTTAGACATGACGCATGAACTGAGCGCACAATGCGGAGGTTGCGTTCGTCTGCCCAAGCGCGTCTTTGAGATTGCTCAACGAATTTAGATGAAATTCGGTGTTGCGAGTCCATACTGAAAGTTGTTGATCAAACGTTATTGAGGGTCGCTTCATTCCAGTGTAATTTACCATTTCGTTGCTTGAAAAGTAAATTCTTTCGTCCCTCAGAATTCTCCGTCGTGCGCAGTTCCTCGATGTCGGGTTTAAGTATTTTTCGATTGGTCTCTTCTGTGGGTCAAGAGGAGTGCATTGGGAGAAGCGCGAAGAAACGTGACCTCTGCCTATTACAGGATCGGCGTTTGAGTGAGGTCAGCCTTGTTACCGCATTTTGTGGCCTGTCTGTAATTTAATTTTCTAGGAATTCTGTACCGCCCCCACGCAGTATCGAGGTACGGAATCCGTGGAGTTTACCTCCACGACCTCCTCACCAGCAAGTCGTCTTGAGCTCTTCCCCTGTTCACTACCCCGTCGAATATTCACGGTTCATTTCGAAAGTTCTGGAAATTCAAAGCGATAGTTTATTCTGCTTTATAAAGCGCGACATGATTTAAAACTTGAGAGCGAAATCATTCCTTATCTGCCGTAGCCCGAAGTTCTCTGCTTCTAGAAAGTTTTGCAATCAATTTGTAGAAACTTCCATACCCAAGACATCAGGTCGCATTGCAACGCGAAAGTGCCCCCTCGCTCCGTCGTAGCAAACAACTTCATTCCCCTGCTGAAGTTTTAATGCATATGGGATCATTAATCTCGTGATGTTGGCGGCTCGGGGGCCACTGACGTCTATCCCCTAGGCTGCACTTCATTCAAGTGCAGGTCGGTGGATTTCCTGAGCCAACAAACAGCTGCCAGGCAAGAAGCGATCCCACGTCATCGTCGGCTCGCTGTGATGGATAGCGATTCTGAAGAACGTGGTGACTGCCCCTCGCACTGGCTGACTGGCTA